GATGTTCATTAGCTGTCAGCAAGCTTATTCATCATGAACGCTATGATACACCTGCACGTCACTAATCTGACGAAGCAGTTGATTGTTTGCATGACCAGAAAGAAATACTACACGCTTGCTCTATTGCTTTCTCCGCCACAAACAGTACTCATTCTTCGTGATTCATCAGTTACCATGTTTCGCATTTATACGTCACTGTTTCCAACACAGTGATATCCGAGAGATAGGTGAAGTCCTTCAGTATAAGGAAAGACGGTATTGTAAAGCATGCGCAAGCTAGCAGCCATTCTGCTTACAGCCTCAGGGTGGAAATTGTAGCGCTTATCTACTTCCTAATCAGAATGAATAAGATGTGTGGAGCCGTTTATTGGTATTTAATAAATGACTCGGCAATTTTCAGAGAGATGGCGTATATACATCGAATTAGCAGCATCTATTACTAGAGGTATGCAACCCAAAATCGAAGGGCCTTTCATATTACGTCTGGCCTACGGAACTATCCCGGTGGTGCAGCAAAAATGAGACATCCATAATGATTGTCGCAGTGGACTTAATCTTGACTACTAGATAAAGTAATGCATTATGGTGCCTGTGTCGCTGAGTTTTAGCCATACGTGTTTCCAGAATCGCTAAAATCGCCAGTGTATACAGAAAAAGACTGTTTCTTTACGTTGTAGTCTCTGTCCCCTCATTTGAAGTCTGTAGACCAAAAAATCCGAGACCATATTACAGCTACCTAGTGTGAATGTGCTATAGGAAAGAGTACTCTTTGCTCATCTCGCCTTCGCTAGGTAGATAATCCGTTCATTACCTTGTTCACACGGGGCATATGGTCTTGCTTTGGATTACACAACCAAGTATGGCAAAGTGACGGGGCGCGTCCATCGCCATAAAATGTTTTTGTTGGTCTATTAACCCCTTGTGACGGCACAGCAAGGTGCACATGCTGCTACAGGGTATTAATTTCCCTAATGATGCCGCCGTTTGGTTGGTGGGACTTGGGAGTTTGGGAGAGGGTGCGGGTA